CGGCCGAACATGCTGAGCATGTTCGGCCGACCCGAAGCCACGCGAAGCAGGCCGATGTACGGCGAACAGTGTTCGGCTCACTTCACTTCTGATCGGTCATTCACTCGGCTGCCCTCGGCAGCATAGTGAATAGACCCCTTAGTATCTCTAATTTCGATTCTGACATTCTTTTTGTGCACCTGGTATCTTTGGTCATTAAAGCCATGTGGCTGCCAGAATCCTTACTGGACGCTTGGCGCTTTGTACTTCTCAGAAAAACTTTCTGCACAATACAAAAGCTTGTGACAAGAAGTTACACCCAGAATCAGTGTGAAACGATTGCTGAACTTGACTATAATGGATAAATAAAAGCTTCAGTTTGAAGCCCAGCTCCAGCCAAAACTTTTTTATTTTAATTGGTTAGAGTAGAGAATGGTTAGAACATATGTCAGGTTTTATTGCTATCTGAGCCCCTATTAGGGAGCTTCACTTCACTTCCTGTCTGGACAGGATGTGGTTGGAAATATTGCAGACGGGGGACACAAACATGAATACATAAATACATTTGTAGCAAATATTTAGTAGAATAGGGAAATGTTAAAAGGTTCCACATAAGCCTAAAGTACTCTATTTTCAGCCAAGTGATGGTAGCTTTCAAATCTCATTTAATTCAGCTGTAAATAATAGCTATCATTTTTTTACAAATAAGAACTCCATCATTGTGAATGAAGCCTAAAGTATGTATTGCTCCCTGTGCTTTCCTGTCTCTGTGACAACCACACCCTAAAAGCTAAAATATACACTTATATTATTAGACATCAATTTGGATCCAGAATATTGACTTTGATCTTGAAAGACACAGCAATCCTGGCTGGAGCATCACTGAATGTGAGGAAGTACGGAACAAACTGGGTGAATTGGCCAGACAAACCAAGGTAATTCATTACTTGCTTACTGAGATGCTAATTGCATCTGTATTTCTCTCTGTTGTCCCACAGGCTTATCGTTCAACTAAGGGTTGCCATAAATTGTTAGATTTTAATTTGAACGGTTTCGTTGCTGCCACAAAATGATGTATGGCCAGCTGGATGAACGGAAATCGTTCATCCAGCTGGCCATACACCTATAGATTATTTGCAGCTTTCCTATGGTCAGATAAAAAAAGTACTGTATGATTTCCGAACGGAAATCTAACAATGTATTCAATGGTTATTAGATATACATTAGATACATTTTTACGTGTAGCTTCTAATTATATAGGTACATACGGAAACCATATCTGCTAATAACATATTAAGGATCCGCTCCTCACTTTGTAGAGCTACACGACAGTTGAGGATTATTGTTTCTTCTCATATTCAAATCTATTAGTGAGACACTTTATTTAAACCAATGTATTTCCTGTGTGGCCAGTATCTTATCTCAACAGAGGTTAAACAAAGTCAAGTCAAAAATAGTGTCTCTCTAGTTACTAATCTTTATATTTAGAGCGTGAATTCTAAGGTATTATAATGTAGAACGCCTGACAAAAGGTAGCTCTTGCTACAGTATTCACGTTCAGTCCTGCTCTGTCCTCCACAGAAAGTCCTCTTAACCACTATTGTTAAACAGGATTTATATAGCGCAAACAGTTTTCGCAGTGCTTTACAATATAAGGAAGACATTACAATCACAATACAACTCAAGACAAGATGGTAAGAAGGGCCCTGCCCGTGAGGGCTTACAATCTAAAAGGGAGATGTCACCTAGATGTCACTAGATGTTACCATTCATTTATGCCACTAAACCTCTGAGCCAAGGCTATAATGAAGACAGCCCCTGGGAGTACATCAACACTCCAGTCTGGGCTGAGAGGAGTAGTGCACTGCATGGTGCTCACATGTTATTAAGTAAACAACTACCATTGAATGAAGAGGAAGGACCTGTGATATTACCGAACTACCCCTAAAGACCCTTGAAGAAAAGGAGTGTTTTGTGTGTCTATGTGTGTGTGTATTTATATATATATATATATATATATATATATATATATATATATATATACGGTAT